TTCAAAACTGCCAGTCCCCATGACCCATTCTCTGCAATTCAGTGCGAAAAGTATTGGCTTTAAGTGTTTGTTTGGCCGCAAGCATTGCTTTGTGATGCATGGTTTCAAGCATGGAACACACCTGCCCTGCTTAAGCGCTGGTTTCGCTGATGCTGCCCCAATACCGGTTGTTGGTAAAAACGCCAGCAGCTTTTGTGCCGATGGCAAAGAACAAGTTGTCCGAAAAGGAGTTGAAGAGAGCCCACCGCGCCCAGAAAGCCGAAGCCAAAGAGAAGGTGAAGGCAAAGGAAACCAGCGAAGAACAAAAAACCCCGCCCAAATCCATCCTGAAGAAGCCAAAGAAGGAGACACCTCTTGAGACGCCTCCCAAGGAGTCAGCCGTGCAGCCACGAAAGCTGACTTTCAAAAAGGAGAGTGTGATCCATGAGGTTGCTGCAAGCCAGCCTGCCAAGCGAAGCAAGAAGGACACAACGCCCGAACCAGAAGCCAAGAGCATGAGTGAGAAGAAAGCAGATGAAATTGTGAAGGTTTTGCAGGCCCGTCTCATAGGATTCAGACAGCGCATCCAACTCACCCACATAATTTGGACCCTTCAAATAAAAAGTACCCAACGTTATTGCTGCCAATCTCTGCTGCTCAGGCAAAGAAGGAGGCTGACGAGTGCTCGGATGAGAGCAGCTCATCGGTCTCGATTAGTTCGGACACCANNCGAGGAGGAAGAGAGCGGGGAGAAAGATAACAAGAAGGAAGATGACAAGCAGGAAGATGACGAGCAGGAAGATGTCAAGGAGGAAGACGACAAGAGCGAAGCAGGCGAGGAGGAAGATGATAAGGCGGAGGAGGCTCAGCAGGAGTCCGACAGCTCAAGCGTGGCTGAGAGCGAGGATGAGGTCAAGTCAAGTGCTTCCTCCATGGCCAAGTCGAGTTCAGGGTACTCAAAAAAGCAACTTCTGGCGATGCTGGCGGAGTTTGATGACACGAGCAGTGAGAAGAGCACTGCAACGAGAAAGCAGAAGTTCAAAGCCAAACGTGAGCAGAAGAAGGAACCATATACCTTAAACTCCTGCAATTGAACCCTAAACCCTGAAACCCTATATCCTACAGCCTGCACCCCCTGCACCCTAGACGTTGACCCTTAACCCTGCATGCTTGGAGGCTCAGAAAGCACTCCCTGACAAGAAGGAGGTTGACGAGACAGCCGGCTCAGAGTCAGCCTCAAGCGAGGAAAGGAAGAAGCAGAAGAAGCAAGCGAAGGAGGACAAAAAAAAAGAAAAGAAGGACAAGAAAAAGGAGCAGAAGAAAGATCAGAAGAAGGAGCAGAAGAATAAGCAGAAGAAGGAACAGAAGAATGAGCAGGAGAAGGAGCAGAAGAATGATCAGAAGAAGGAGCAGAGCGCCAGCCCGGGATCAGAAAATGCAGAGCAGGGCGCAGCGAAGAACACAGCAGAGGAGCAAAGCCAGAACAAAGGAAGCAAGGAAAGCAAAGAAAGCAAGGAAAGCAAAGAAAGCAAGGAAAGCAAGGAAAGCAAGAAAAACAAAGGACAGAAGGATGACAAGGACGAAGACAAGATGGACACCAAAGAGGACAAGGAAGACAAGAAAGACGAAAAGTCCAAGAAAGAAAAGAAAGAAAAGAAAGAAAAGCAAGCATCCAAGGAAAAGGAGAATGAGCAGGATGCAGGAAAAGGAAAGAAGCGGAAGGCAGAGGTCGAGGAGGAGGCAAGCAAAGACGAAAAGACGGTCACCAAAGGTGCCCAAAAGCTCCAAGAGGCAGAAGCCAAGGCCTTGAAAAGTATGAACAGCCGATCTCATCACAAAGAATACCTTAGGTTTGACCGATGGAGACGCAACGCTAGACGCTTCCCAGCCCAACTCGCATCGCGTTTGCAAACCGAAGGTGGAAGGCTCAGCCTGTTTCAAGACTGGGTGGCATGCAAAGGAAACAATACCGCCATACTCGCTCGGCATCAGCAAACCTTGACAGAAGCCAAGAACTCCAAAGTCAAATACGGGTTTCGTGGCGAAAAGTACCTCATAGACACACATGGGGAGAAGAAAGCGCAAAAAATAATTGCTCGCAAGAAGCAGCTCGGACTCACCATTGAGGATCCGGAAGATTCGGATGACTTGCTCTATTTCGTGCTCATCAACATTGACATTAACAACATTAACGAGCTGAAGCGGACGACTTCACTTGAAATTGCAGGACAAGTAGATCAAGAAATCCTCAAAGCCTTCACAGAGGCACCGTTTTGTTTCTTTCCTTTAGATCTTTCGGCTATTTACCATCTCTGCCTTCCTAATATATCCCCCTTCCCTATTCATTTTTCCTCATTCAGTCACCCGCTCATTTATTCGTTCACTCCATTTTTCCGTCCCTCTCTTGCTCTCTCTCTCTCTCTCTCCGCGTGCTTTCTCCTTGTAGTTCTATTTATGTCTTGTGCTCGGAAAGGAAGGTGGCGTGTTGGATCCCAAAGCTATGAAAGTTGGCGATCTGACCAAAAGCGCGGCCATGCAGAGTGCTCTCAACTTTGCAAGCATGCCCTCTCAGAATGGAAAGGGCAAGGGCAAGCCTAAGACAAAAAAGGAAAAGAACGAGGCTCCTGCTGAGGAGGCTCTCTTTTATGTGCCGTCAAGTAGTTTTCAGATAGAGTCACCCCATAATCCCGATTCCGAAGGTGAAAGCTGCTCAGCCGCTTGACAAAGCGAAAGCTTTGATGAGTCAGATTCTGAAGGAGGCCAACAGCTGCAGGCTGGCTTTTAAATCAACTAACCCTTACTAATCCTAGTGAGTAACCCTTAAACCCCAAACCCTGAACGGAAGCATGTTAATCAACTTTGTGTGGGGTAGTAGCAAGAACAAGCCGTGGCATTCCCATTCGAACCAATCATCCTCTTCAAAGTCTTGGTGGAATATGAACAGAACAGGTTTATATATGCCCTTGAAACCCGATCATCCTTTTTGAGCCTTTGGAGATGCCTCTCTTACCGGTTAAGGTTTAGGGTTGGGGGTTTTGGCTTTAGGGTTCAGGGTTCAGGGTATTAGGGTTTGGGGTTTGGGGTTTAGGGTCTTAAAGTTCAGGGTGATTGTTGATCCGTATAGCAGGGTCCCACATAGTATTCTTCCCTCTTGCCAATAAAAAGTGAATGGATGGAATCCAAACCCTAAACCTTATAAACCCTCAACCCTAATCTTCTGTGCCTGGAGGGACTTTGCGTTCAAGCTTCGACCTCTCGAGATGTCAGAGGCGCTCATCGGTCAGCTACAGGCTGTGGAGGTCAAGCTATCGGGTGAGGCAAAGGCATTGCAGGCTTTGATTAAGAAGAAGAAGAACAAAAGCAAGCACTACGCAAAGACGCTTGCAGAGGTGCAGTGCGCTCCTTTCTTTAACACTGTACTGGGGGGTCTAGAAGGGTTTGGGGGTTTTCATTTCCGCGCAGGTTGAGAAGCTGAAGGAATTGGCAAAGGAAAGGGTGGACCTTGCAAAGGCCTTGATTCGGGCAGCGGAGAAATCCCCGAAGGAGAAGACCCCAAAATCCTCCTCCGCCAAAGGCGGCGGACAGCACAGTGCTACCGAATCAGAAAAGTAGGCAGGCGCCTCGAAATCCTGTGATGATACTGAACACGGCCCATAAAGCCTTTATTATTTCAATTAGCCTGGACAATGCAGGGGTGCCCTGCCAATGTGTTTGCGCAAGCAGCTGTCAAAGCTGGTAGAGTTGCAGTTATACACGCAAGCGCTCTATGTTCTTCCCGAAAAGTTCCTACAGTATCAATCTTTACTTATCATGTTCCTCCAAAGCGTTATGCAGGGGTGAGCGCTAGGGTGTCGTGTATCAAGTCAATTCAGCTAGCATAGTGGCACCTGCTGATCAAGGGGAAGTCTCTGTTCCAAAAGCGGGAAACAACCTGCTTGCTCGCAACCGCCAGCCAAAAATTACGATTGATCTCATGTGAGCCATGCAGTTAGAGGGACAGGAACCACTAAACCATTTTTGCCTTTATGGCGCCCGCAGGCAGAGCTCCCGTTCCCGATCCCGAAGTCGGCCTGGTAGCGATCCGGATCTCCGTACTGCACCAATGGGCGCCTTAGGGATGGCTTAAGGCTTTTAACGTTTATAGGATTTTGTGGTTTACAGGGTTTGTAGGGTTTATAGGAGTTATAGGGTTCATAGGGTTTGTAGAGTTTATATAGGGTTTTGGGTTTGTAGGGTTTAGGAGATAAAGCTTATAGGGTTTCTCGGGTTTATAGAATTTCTGGTTGATACGCAAACATAACATCTTGCGCCCCATGCAGAGTAAACCTGGACTTTTTGTGGTTTTAGGGCCAGCCTTCCTTTGTTATGTTTTGCAATTGCAGGATTCGACGCAGTGCATAGTGGATCCTACAGCGCACGCCGTCTTCTCTTGAAGCTGTGCTCAGGGGTCAGGGTTTGGGGAAACTTCAACACATTTTTTAACCCCTATAAGCCCACGTCAGACCCTTTACAACCTTTTGTTTTATGGGCCCCTCGAATCACCTAAGCTGATCCCTGCAGAAATCTTCGGCAGCGGAATGCTGCACAGACGCAGAAGGTCTCCTAAAGGATGGTGTCAAATGTCCACTAGCTGCTCTACTGGCGAAGTTTCGTGGGTCTGGCTTCACTGGACATGAAGAACGCAACTTCGAAAGGCCAGCCACACAACCCTAAGCCCCACATGATCTGAATTTTCGGCATCTCGACCCCATAAATATTTATGTCCCTGAGAGGTGGTATGAAAAGCACACTGCCATCCCCTTGGGTTCCGTCTCGCTACCTCAACTACTTGAAGTGGAGGGGTGTTTAAAGATCATGGATCAACCGATCAGCGTGGTATGGCCATGGGATATTTTACGCTGGCTATGCAAAGAGAATCGCTTCTTGAATTGGGTTTGCACTCGGCCGGAGGAGGCATGTCGGAGATGTTCGGACACTCAGCTTGCATTTAACTATTTTGTTGCAAAGTCGGTGTAGCTAAACCGAACTTCCCACCCAGAATCCCTTAAGCGCCTAATTGTAAGCCCGGACCTCAAGAACAGGAGTTTTGGCATTATCTACGCGATGAAGATTTCATTTCTGATCTCCCGGTCAACAAACCTGGCGTAGACAACTCAAAAGTTGTGCCATTAAATTGGCACGTTGATGGCGTGAAGGTCTATAAGAATCAAAAGTGCTGGGTGTACAGTGTGTCCTCTGCTGTTTGCAAGGGCCCAGTTCTGCAGAGCAAGCTTGTGTTTTGCGTTGTCCGCGAGTCAACGAACGCGAAACCTAAGACCAATGATCGCATTGGAGAAGTGATTGGGTGGATCTGCAAATGTCTGCAAAGCGGGAAGTACCCGGACAAAGACTTTGATGGAAAGGAGTGGCCAAGCGGGTCACTAGCCTCTGCCAGCGCGGGATCCCCAATTCTACCCGATGGATGGCTCTGTTGTTTCAGCGGCTTCAAAGCGGACTTGGAGGCAAGAGTGGCAATCCACAAATTTCACCAGAATTTTATGTCAAACCAAATTTGCGAACACTGCCCAGCTGGCAAAAAGATTTGCCACTATTCTGATTTTCGCCGAGAAGCATCCTACATGTCTTGCCAGCTCACACACCAGCAGTACTTGCTCATGACTCCGGAAAGAAAGTGGAGTTCATGGTTACATGTTCCCGGTTGGAGAAAGGATCGCAACTTGGAGGACTGAAAGTGGTGTAAAGCTTTATACACTCCAAACCATTGAAACTTCAAGGGAATCGGTGTAAGGTTTACACAAATGGTTTAGGTTGAAGTTGTTAATGGCATGTTGACCAAGTTCTTGGTTGTATTTTCCCTATACACTTTATGCTTTCTTTTGCGTTGAGGGATATAGGAAATATATGGAAAGATTCATATTATATAGGTATCTGTAAGTGCTCACAAGACTTGCCTACACGGGGTTAGGGCACAGGTTCGTGTTTTGGATTGCCCTTTGATAATCACAAACCCTATAGTTGTTGGCTTAAACCCTGCATGAGCCCTAAACCCCTACACCTTGAAACACAACCAGGACTTGCTCCATACAGTACACCAAGGAGTCGCGTGCTGTGCAATTGCTGGGTTACTTGTTGACCACATCGAATGTAGTCGCCCTGGATTGACCCTACACGTTCTGGAGCTTCAACTACAAGAATGTTACCTTCACTACCGGAGCTGGTGCCGCGCAAAAAGAGTGTCCGCAACAAGTTTGCCATTTACTTTAGCGAGACTTGGTCGTGAGAAATGGGCTTCACTGCCAGAGCTCTCCACCCAATACAAGGCAAGTACTGTGAAGATGATGATGTTTTGGCTTGCTGATTTTCTCTACGAGAACAGACAAACAGTTGGTGGTCCGAAGCGAGCGATGGCTAGCTATACGTTGGCAATGTTTCAGCGCATGTTAGATGTGAATGGGCCCTGGCTCAATGAGGCTGATGCTGAGCGCACAGGGCGATATGGCCGAACCTTCTTGCTTTCATACCAGGACTTGGCCAACCAACATCGTGGGGGAGACAAACAGAACTACAAGGTCACTCCCAAATTCCATTCCTTTCTGCATATGTGCTTGACAATTGAGAGAACAAAGCGGAATGCTCGGTATGAGCATGTGTACACTGATGAATCGCTGATGGGCCACCTAGGCCGAATTGCTTCCCGAACCCACGCACTCAGTATGGAAAGAGCTACAATGCATCGCTACCGAGCCCTCCTGGAATTATGCTGGGATGTCAAAGATGAGACCAGGCGCCGAGAGCCGTGAGGATGAAGTCGCGGACCCGTCAAAAGTCGGGAGCTTCGCTTATAGGGAGTGTCTACTGTAGACGATTCGGGAGACTCAGCTGTTTTAAGGAATAGAATATTCCCTTATATCACGTACAGTAAGTTCCTGAAACTTATGTTTTGCGGGGTTACTACTTTTCACAGCTGAGCCTCTCGAATCGACCGTTGAACTTAAGGGTGTACATTTTTCTGAGCGGTAGCCCCAGCAAATTTACTTATTCTAGTCGGGCCCATACGAGAAAAGTTTTTTGGGGAACCTTTAGGGGGCTGTTGGAAACTTGGGGGCCTCTGCGTTTAAAGGGCTTGGGTTGTAAGGTCCAAACGTCTAAGATTGTCCAAAGAATCTTTATATTGTGGGATTGGGGTATATAGCCAGTTATAGCCCCGAGGAAGGTGAAGTGTATGGGGTTCGAAGTGTTGAGTTTAGGGGTTGTGAGGCTTAAATTTAAGGGTTTGGGGTTTAGGATTTTTAGGGCTTAGGGTTTGGGGTGTGAGGAAGGCCTTGGGCCCAAGTAACTACTCAGAAGGCCCGCTTGCTACCCCTTATTAAATCTATACTTCCCAAAATCTACTTCACGCTCTGTAAATCCATTCCCCATCCCCATCGCCTATATAAACCCGAAACCATGTAAAATCCTTGGCTGCAAGCAGTCCCTGGCCCTTATAAGCCTTAACTAAACCTAGAAACCCTAAAATACCCTGGCCCAAACCCTTCGCCTGTCTGAAGCCCGCAAACCCTCCACCCCTCGACTAGACTAAACCCTAAACCCTAAACTCTAAACCCTAAACTGAGCAAACCTTGTGTTTTTTTGGCTCAAGTTGTTTCGCTGAAGCAAATGTGGATTGTTGCCACGGTATCTTAAGCCAGTATACACGCAAATCTTGTTGCCACTAAATTCTTTTGGCTCAAGAACTGGGTTGCTGGCTGTGCTTAAGCCAGTGCATGCAAGAGCTAGGGAAGCGGGTATGATCATCAAATTCTTCAGTAGGTTAAAAAATTTCACACAGGTGGGGCTGGACAATGACAGCAAACATTCCCAGGATGCGCAACAGGCGCACGCCAGATGCGCGCCAGGCGCGCGACAGACGCGCGCCAGGCGCGCGCCAAGCGCGCGCCAGGCGCGCATGGACGC